TATTCTCTGACAATGTTCATTTGTTCAAACATTCAAAGAAAAACCCTCCTTCTCCAAGGAGGAGCAGAGGTAGTGACCACTACTGACCCAGCATTTACCATGGCGGGGGGGAAAGAAATACAAATTTGGACCAAGATCCCATAACATCACTTGGCTCACACAACTGTCATACAAATCGTTTCACTTTTTCATCACTTGTGCAGTGAGATTATACAAGATATCCTTGCGCAAGGAAAAACTGGTTAGTATGATCTCTGCTTTGATAAGAGCACAACACGCACAAGCAGCAGATCCTGCATGACTACATTGGCAGGGCTTTCTGCTCTGTCAGCATCCGGTAGGATTTTGGTCTATACGTTTACACCAGGTTGGGTAAATATTATGATAGCGTAAGTGCTACTCTGAAGCTGTGTCAAGTTCTCCCAAATAGGTTTGTAAGGCTAAAGCTACTGACACAGACGTCAGATCACATGCTCCATGGAATTATTTGCAGTTTCATCTGGTGAAACCCAAGCCTTTATGCAAACACTTTTCGTTTTCAGAAGAGAGGGATACTGGACCGTTTTGGGTATGTGCCAAGTTTGATTCTCAACTGACCTTACAAGACTAGTTTTAAAAAAAAATTCTCTGCATTATTCTTGTATAGTGACTCTTTTGTAAGCTGCCCTGAGGTATAGTATCAGAGGGCAAAAAAGGGTACAAATGAAAGCAAAGACAGTAGGTGCAAGGAAGCCTTAACAGACGTATAGTCACTGAAGATGGTGCAACACCTTCTGTTTTGAGGCAACCCAGAAATTTATAAAGAGAATTGTTTTAAAATGAAACTGAAAAGTGCCCAGGTTAGGACAAATGCAACTAGAAAAGGGCTCACAAAATTTGTTCCTATTACTCCAACCTTCAATAGTAATGCCAGACAGATAGAAAACAAGAATAACCCCAGTAGTAAGTTTTCAGGTGCTTTAATAGACAACTGGCTTATTAGAAAATAAAAAGAGACCAGATACAAGGGCACAGAAAATGGTGACAGGAAATAGTTGCCATATTAGTGAAATGCAATCAAAACTTTGCATGCGGCCTTGATAAAAGAGTGGAGCCATACCATGGTATTTTGAAGTCAATCTCCGAACAGAAACAGGTAGTGGGAAGCAGGCGAGGGAAAGAAGAAAGCCTGATTGGAGAGGCACTGCAGCAAGATCATCAGCACATTTACGCTTTATAGGCAACCCTGGAGTCCAGCCTTAAGGAAGTCACTAAATGCCAACTCAGGGGTCTATGAACAGCATCATCAGGGTGAGGCCTGAAGATGTACATAACAGTACAAATCAGGAAATGTCATAGAACCTTCTAGCATAGTAGTTCCCAACTTTTGACTCCCCTAGGTGTTCTTGGACTACAACTCCCAGAACCCCTGGCCAGCACAGCTAGTGGTGAAGGCTCTTTGGAGTTTTAATCCAAGAAAATCTGGTGACACAAGGTTGGGAACCACTGTTCTAACATGCGAGCCTGGTCCACTGCAAGAGGAGATGAGGAAGAATGTGAGGTCCTTTGACACATGACTTGCAAGAGTAACTCCAAGATGGCATCCCTGCTCAGCAGTGATTTAGGTTTGTACTACTCTAACATCTTTCTTCAATAGATGTCACTTTTATCATAATGCTTGAGTCATTAACAGCTCTATCAACTCCCCATCTCCCATTCTCTTTTCTTTTATTCCTTTTCACGGAGTTCCTGTGTCATTTGGTAAGATGCCTTGGGGGAAGAAAATGGAAATAAGACTAAAAAAATAATAATTAAGAAGCATGGCTTGGCTGAGATTTTGGCAGCAGCAGCACTGGTATGAATTACAAAGTTTGAAGTCCAAAAAAAAACCCCAAACCCACAAAATGAACTAATGAACAGAAGCAGAACCTTTTAGGCTTCTTGATGGTTGCACTGATAAATGACAGCCATTCTAGAAAGAGAAGGGAAATACTGTACTGAACAAGGAAGGACACTAGGCTCCATTTACGCTTATTGATCTTTAAGGTTCTTGCCATCAAGTGGAAAATTAAAGTTATTCAACTGGTATTAATTTGGTTCCTTTTGCTCCATGTTTTTGCAGGACTATGGTTAATCTCATTTTAAAGAACAGGGTTAAGTTTTGGAATTGCACTGCAACAAAACCTTGGAACATACAAGATACAAACCGTGTGGAAACGTGTATTCAAACCTGCTTCACAAGCAGAGAGCACCGTGTGGAAACGTGTATTCAAACCTGCTTCACAAGCAGAGAGCAGCAGCCTTTAACATACGCAGTTGATTGTCTAACCTTACTTTTCTAAATTCATGTAATTCTTTGAACAGCCACCATGACATTTCCTATCACGGTACAGTATACTGTACTTAATGACTCCAGCCGTAGGCCTACTTAATGCTCTCTCATTGAGATAACGCAATATACCTAGCTCGCAAAACTGAACTGAGTGGCAAGAATACAGCATGCTGCAATGCTGTTATCTGACAGAGCTATTTTGCACGGAACAGTTCAAGGATGAACTGTTAAAATGCAGCAGTGGACAACGCCAAGTTTAATGCCCTTGGCATTGTTATTCATGATTTAGAAAAAGCTATGCAACCATTGCTTTGCTTCTCAGCAGTGACATAGAAGTAGATTCCTTACAGCATCTCGATTATTCCAGTCACATGTGCATGAAGGAATCAGAGAAGCAAGGCCAGTATGGTTCCCTCCAATATCTGGTTAATGTCTGGTTAGGAATAAGATGTACAGCTAGCTGGTCCTGTCACACTTTCCCTCAGAGTTTGGAAAAGTTATATTTTAAACTCTACCCTCCTAAATTCCCCAGCCAACATCATCACCATCAATCCTAGTTTACAATTTATTTCACATATGTACTACTTTTAGGCTCTACAGTGAGTTAACTAAACACATACTCATTAGCAGTTTGCCTGTGTGCCAAAAGAACAGACCTTTTGAATACTGCATTGAAGCACAAAACCATTTCTATCATCATCAACTATTTTTTTTATTATTTCAGGCAAGCTACAGCCACTCCCAATCGTTTATGCCAGAACAGCCTTTACATAATATGAAAGGATTATACACAGCCCTTCCCAATCCCAGCTGCTCAGCTGAATCAAGAATGCTTAAGGATATAACACTTGTGACCAAGGCTTTTCTCTCTGGAATCAGTTTTTTTTAAAAATTCGGCTAACAGGCATAAGGTTCACAGATCTCTTAAGAGTCACAAGGATGAGATATACAAGACTATATTAACAGCTCAAGCAACTGACTCATTTCAAACACACACAAACAGGAGTGTTGCATTCAGTTTTCATTTTGAAACATTGGTATTTTTAATATTTTTTTATTTCTCCCAGTTAAAAATACATAACGGTGCCAACATCCAAATGTTTTCAAAGAATGCTTCCTATGACCTGCCCTTCAGTTGTCTACTATATTTCCTCATCTCCTCTCCTTGGTAAAGAAATTGTAATTATTCAGTACAGGAAGCTGCTTTCATACTGCAGCAGCAGCATCACATACCTTCAAAATTTGTACTTCTTTTAAGTACATCAAAGAATTTAATGGTAAGGGACACAGGCAATAAGAAACAGAATACAAAAAATACTATGAATGTAACAAGTATGCTGTACGTAAAAACATGCGAGAATGCACTTTGCGATTCTTGAGTGTTTATTGCATCCTATCTACTCTACACAAATAACTTACTTTTCACATATCAGATTTTCATGCTCTAAAAACTAGGTTAATCTATAGACATGTTCATGTAAATGTGCTTTTAATTGTGATTATTAAGAAACTTGTGCATCCATGTAAAAAGGCTGGGGCCTTTCTGAAATCTCCAAGTGCCTGCTAGCTTTAAAAAATGATTAATTTCTAACTGTGGTGAAAGCATTGCAGAAAAAAACACATGAATTAAGGGTATTTGGTTTTCAATGTATTCTCAAAGGCTTTCATGGCCACAGAGGTCCTCTGAAGATGCCGGCCACAGAGATTGCCGAAACGTTACAAAGAACAGCCTTCAGAACATGGCCAAAGAGCCCAAAAAACCCACAACAACCATCGGTATTTGGTTTAATTTTTTTTTATTTTTAATGGAAACATTTAACTAATCACCCACTGCTACTAGATCTAGCCAGGGGGCCCTTTTGAAAGAGCCATCCCTCAAGGAGGTAAGAGGGATGGTTTGTAGACAAAGGGCCTTCTCGGCAGACTATGGAACGCCCTCCCAACTGAAATTCGTCTGGCGCCGACGTTGATGACATTTCGGCGCCAGGTCAAAACCTTCCTGTTCCAGAAGGCTTTTAATTGAAATAACATCAACTGTGGGTCCTGATGATGGCAATTTTAATTGTATTTTAATTGTATTTTAATCATTTTATTTTTATTGTATTGAATTTTAATTATTGTAAGCCGCCCAGAGATCTCTGGGTAGAGTGGGTGGCATATAAATTCAATAAACAAACAAATAAATAAATAATATAATGCTTCTCTGCTCCCTTCTCTATTCCTGCCTTCACAGTGTACAAACTGGCATATCGAAATTTGAATTAAATAGTAAGTAGGCACTTCTAATTCATGCAGATGACACTAGCGGAGAGATGCTCCTTCAGTCTTCCCTGAAACAGGCTGCTCAAGAGCACAATATTTGTCATGTAGCTTATTTCTAGAAAAGGCAGCACCCTTAAGAAACCTACTAAAGAAACAATTCTTGGTATGGCAACTGCAGCAGTTTGCTTTCACCAGAAAAGACAAGGCACAAAGACCAGTCAGTGTACTTTTCCCCCCTCTAGTGACAGAACAGAGTATCACACCTTACATAACCTAAGAGGCCACTTTGCAAAATGGTTACAGGCAAGGAAAGTGAAAACGCAAGAGTGATTCTGCCTGCTCTTTGGCAAGATGCAGATTAAAGAGGAGGAACCACCCCAAGATGTGTACTTTTTGCAGTATATACAAGAGCACAAGCCTCAGTGAGGTTTAAACATCAGATTTTATTTAGTTAACTCTAAATAAGCAAGAATTACATCAGAACAAAAATGGCAGATGAAATATTTTAACACTATTCTCTAGGTAGTACCTGTGGATTCCTCTGCCGTCTGCATCTACCTAGAAAGTAACAGTGGAAACAATTATTGCAATGAACAAAAGACAAACCCAGAAGCTTCATACATAAAAACCAAAACCAGCATTTCCCCAAGGTTCTGGCAAGAGATCGATTTCTTTCAAAATTAACATCAGAAATGTTCACTGTGTAACGTAACTTGGAACACATTACCACTCTGGGCTTTCCTGCAGAATAAAAATGTACAAGTCTACACCAGTGACTCATTCGTAGATGCAATAGGCAGTCTCCTGTAAGAACAGGTACTTCTACAGCATCAAATACAACTGAATCAATGATGAGGGATTACCAAGCCCAGTGGAGATATTGAGAAGGAAGCAAAGTCAAGAGCTGAGCATTATATAGTTGTTATCCCCTCTATAGGTAAACTCTTTTGTTCCCCAATGTGCGCTTTCAACCTCTCACTAAACACTAATGGGCCATGGAACACAGTTTGAAGTAGCTGATGCAAGAATATACATCTTTCAAACCACACCCTTCCTTAAGGTGGTGTATACAATCCTCAGAAGAACTCATTAGGTAGATGATTCTGAGATGGTCACTGGCCAGGTTTCCTGATGAATCACATGGCTGAATTGAATCCAGGACTCCCTAACCGTAGTCTAACACTCTTAGCCACTGATTCTAATCATCTCCCCTGCCACCTCTCAATCAGGAGTTACATGAGGACATTTTTTAGTAGGAGAGGGATGCAAACCTGGAGAGAATTATGTCCACCACCTTTACAGAAGAGTTCCAAGACTACACACAAGGGCTCCCTGTGCCAAGGTGGCCAGTTCATTTTGCACTCCATGAATTAAGGTAACCAAAATGAATCTGCTACCTTTCGGATTACAGAGTGCGTTCCTCAAGCTGCCCCAAACATCCTGCAGGCCTGCGCATCAGTATCAGAGAACACAAGCACCCATTGTCCAAGCAGCTGGCCTTTTTTCTGAGCTTGTGCCAGAAGGTATCTAATATGTCCCTGCACAAGTACACATCTTGCCAGCCGCAACAGGCTTATTTCTTGTAGAGCAGAAAGCTGGCATGGCATGACATTCCACAAAAGCAAATGGGATGGCCACAATATTGCATGGCTGAAAGCAGCTCTAAACACAAACTAATCATTTATATTCTTTTACTCAGGCGTGGGGAACTTGATTCAATTTTTTTTTTTAATTCCAAAACCAATGTTGTCTACTTGCCACCAGCTGGAAGCCCTGCAGAAATTCAGACAGTGAAGCTTTCCCTATTACTGATTTTATGCTCATGTATGCTCCACCAGGTTAACTGCAGCCAGTCATATTATTTATTTATTTATTACTTAGACTTCTACCCTGCCCATCTAGACCAAGGGTCTACTCTGGGCAACATTACAATTTTTTAAAAAACAGTGAAACCAATAAACGTGTACTATGAATCCAAAATGGCAAAAATGTCAAAATTTAAGATCTTAAATGAAGCTGGCACTATTATAGCCAGCTTCTATCTACACAATTCATTTAACCTTTATACATCAATTTACTCTTCAGTTGTATTAGCATGTAAGGAAGAAGAAATGCTAAGCCACATATCAAAACAGGAAGTCTGTGATTTCACTAAGTTTGTGAAATTACTTTCAGCAGATATTTTACAAACTTACATTTTCCTTGTCTTCTGATTAAGTACCAGAGTTAAGATCTTTCATAATTCAATTAGTGCAAAGTAAGGTAGGAAACAGAAGCATAGTAGCATGTTAAATACAGGAAGGCCTTTCTTCAAATGTGGCAATGAACAAGTGAACTTGAATGTACCTAGCTCAACGTGATTCCCTTCCAAAGGCATACTGTACACAAATACAGAATATATTGCTCTAATGTAGCATATAGTCTAATACATACTTTTTCTAACAAACTTTAAAATAACTGGCAGTTACCTGGATGAAAAATCACAATTTTCTGCTGTGTTCTTTTTTGTTCCATCCAAACCTATAAGAAATATTACTCATTGATATGGTTTCATATTTAGTGGAATGTACACAGACATTTTTGTTTTCAAATGAGAGATGTGGAATATATAAGTTAGAGCCACAGAACACAGCAAAATTCCAATACTTAGCATTAAAGTATAAAAGATTTTAGGAGAGCCTAATAAAGCAGACTAATCACACAGGGAAATCTTTGCATCTCTTATGTGTCATTTATCTGGCAAAGGTAGTCCTAAGGCAATCTGAAACATTATCAAAATTTGAGCAGTGCAACACATTACCACTGCACATCTAAGGCTCAGGCTGTCATTTTTACTACCATGGAGAAGTTAAAGGAAGTTGTCAGAACTGTAAGACTTCATTCCTGTAGGTTGATATTTCAAGCATGATAGCTTACAGGAGAGAAACCTCCAGTCTGTATTCCCAATACTGTCCATCAGCATTACCCAACTGGCATAACCAATTTACCCACCACTACCCCCACAGGCCCCATTTCTGAGGTTTTGTCTTTGCAGGAAAAGCACAGAGACCCAAGGATATTAGGGGTGGGCATGACAGTGACAATCCCTCAGTAACAGAGGACTATGGGGTGGTAGGGGTATGCCATATCATCTGTATGCAGTTTACCCACTCTGGCTTAGTCTTCATTTTTTCCAACTCATTTAAAAAAGGATAAATAAGATGTGGTTTATCAGTAGATTTGTATGCAGTATCATACATGACCATCAAGCTGCTGGCAGAATGCTCACACCTGCTACTGCACGAGGCAGACCCAAGAACAGAGTATGCCAAGTATTTTCTTTTCTTCTAGGGCAAGGTCAGGCTAACAGGTACAAGGCTGGACCATAGCAGGCCCAGCCACACAGCAACCTTTTCCCAGCCCATCAGCTAATGCAGATACATTATATTTCCAGCATACCCACTTCTTAAAGGCAGGGTAGGCCTGAAGCTCACATAATTAAAATATGTTACCTTATGGAAAACACATCAGTGTTCCCAGAATTGACTTGTTCACAGGCAGACAGGCTTCACCTGGCAATTACCCTGAGGAGATAAAGTTACATTACAAACACAGCTACGACTCCTGAAACCACCAAAAAAGCACTTACCCTTTAGAATAAAAACAACAAGAATCTGCAAATCGTAATTTAAAAAGCAGTGCTTTCATTTCACTGGTTCCTAAGGGGAAAAGGGTCACTTCATCTACACATAAGTCCACTGAACCTGCAGTAGAGGTACATCTGTGGGAAATCCTCTTGATAACAAGTGCCACCACACAGGAACACTGTTCCTTTCCAATTGCATCAGAACACCATCAACAAGTAGTGGATAGAAGTTAGCCCACAAATTAATGGAAAATCAAAGCTTTGGAAGGGACCTTGGCCATCAACTAAAATGGGGATATAAGCTCATAGGGGCACTTCTGAGCTGCTTGGGCCCCTCAAATGGGAAGTGGTCTCCAGTCCTCCAACCAAATCTAACTCAATCCTTGACTCAGTGCAGAAGCAGTTAGAGCATTGCTGAGAAATGACCAATCCCAGCCTCCATGCCTGCATTCTGGAGCAACACATAACAAACCTTCTTTATCTTCTGCACCGCACCCACACGTATTGGGTGGAGGCCGCAGTCTGGGATTAAAAGACACTTAGGAACCTTATTTTTCGGACTACCTCTCCCCAAATCCCCACCAGCAGCCAGCTGGGCATAGTGGCTGCAGGATTCTGGCCAAAAATGTAAAGATCGAAGAACGAGCCGAGGGTGACCGAAGAAGCCGCTCTCACTGCAGGGAAGGCGAGCCCACGCACTCCCTCCTCCTCCTCCCGCTCCGCGATCCTCCACCCGGGGGCAGGGGCGGAATGAAGAACCCGAAAGGCCCCTCTGGAGTCCGGGGGCGGCTTTCCCCCAAAAACCCCAGGAGAACCCGCCGCCAACGGCTCTCCCCCAGCGCTCGGCTTTCTTCGCCCCCCCCTCTCGCCCTTGGTCTCCTTTTTCCACCTCCTGCCTCCCTAAGATCCCCATCCCTCCCACGCCAGACGATCCTCGCTTTCCCCTCTCTCCACGCGGCCACTCCCGGAAACGGAACACACGTCAGCGCGCCGAACAAGACGAAACCCGCACCACCGGAAGTGGAGAGGGGCAAGGTCGAAGGAGCATCTTCCTCGTAGAGTTACGTCTGGCTTCAGCTTTATTGCCGACGCCTGCTCCGAGAGCGCCCCCTGCAGGACCAAAGCGGAACAAGAAAGGTTTAAAACCGCCGCTGGACGTCCGGTTGTTTTGAGTTCAGGTTTTATTAGGAGACCATCGCCTGTTAAGAAATCAGACCGTGGTTTTCTGTTTCAAGCAAACAGCAGACCCTGTCATGCACTTTGCATGACATTCATACCTTATGAATGGATTTTCTTATATGAGCAAACACAGCCAAGTAAAACCCAGAAGACCTTTCTCCAAAGCATCAGTCCATACAAGCACAGGACAAGAACTGAACTTGCCCTTCAGCCCTTTGTAGCCCTACCCAGAGTTGTAAATCTACATTCAGAGGGTCTTACTCCTAGGGATGCAGGATTGTAATCCCAGAGATGGCTTGAAAAACAGGTGAACAGGGATTGCTGGATAGCTCAGTGGCTTAGGTCTGTGGCTGCGGAGTCAGAGGTTAGGAGTTTGATTCCCCTCACTGGGACTCCTTGAGAGGGGCTGTACTTGATGATCCATAGGGTCCCATCCAGCTCTGCAGTTCTAAAATTCAAATGTGAACTGACAAACTGAAATCTTTATTATTGGTACCTTATGAAGAACAAATGAAGAAAGGAGCTGCCACCGATTCTTCATCAATGGAAAAGATGGGGGATAAATGGACATTTCTGAGAGCCACTGTGAAGTAATGCATTAGGTTAGGATTCAGAAGACCCAGGTTCACATCCATACTCATCCACAGAAACTTAAGAGTGTGTGTGGCAGCAATGGTAAATCCCCTTCATCATCTTGCCTTGAAAAACTCAGAATTGCCATAAGTTGAAAGCAACAATAGCACACAACAACTATTTACTATTTGGGGATTTTCTAGCCTTGTATTAAGCACATAGGTTATTGGGGCCAGATGGAAAAGATGGAAAAGAAGACAAAGTGCCTGTACTTTTAATAGTTGATCAGAAAAGGAAATTTCATGAAGTGCAGCTTTTAATGAGAACTAACCCTGTTGAAATGTCTTCTGCCACACAACTAAAGGCAGAGAAACCCTAACTTTTTTCTCCCATCTGAACACCCTAATAAAATATAATGACACTCTGCATCCCTTGAAATGTCTGCAATTAGCATAACTAATCTCGGGAGCTGCACATTCAGTGCCGTCTATGCTTGCTCTTCCAGGGCTGTTCTTTCAGTCTGCCTTCTGCTCTGTCATGGAGTCCCTGGACTAGCTCTTGAGTTACAGTAGTGCTTCCAACTCCGTCATAAAGACCTCATTGACTGAATGCAGAAAGTTGCAGTTCTGTCGCCAGAAGGGAAAGGAAGTCCATCTGCCTGAAGCCCAGGAAAGCTGCTGCCAATCTGCATTGGCAACATTAGTATAGATGGACTGATGCACTCATATATGGTGGTTTCCTACATTTGTAATGTATGGAATCGCATCTTGAGCTCATTCAAGATTTGTTCACACACTGTTAGTGCAGATTAGTGGATCCAGGTGCAGTAGCAGTACAGTAGGAAATCTCACCTGCTTAAGCACACACATTAGGGTGACTTATGGATGAGGACACCCCTTGCATGGTAGTGAGCTGGTAATGACATGGCTGCTTCTTTAGTGGCATTGGTAAAAACTATAGCAATCCAGAGGTCTGTGCCCTTCTGATTCAATACCTCTCTCCACATTTGTGTACTGTGGAACTGAATGGAGCTTACTTCAAAGTAAGCAAGCATGTGATTGAGCCTGACAAATTGTTTAATAGCTGAGCATGAAAAGCATTGTTCAGGTGCAAAACTCATAACTGCTGTTGCTTAAACTGTATACCGCCTAAAAGCTTGATCCTCTTACAGAGGGTTAGGCAATTTGTCCAGCTTGATCATCTCTCTGACTACCTCAGAAACCTTCAGACTTACGTGGAGAGAGTATATAAACAGCAGCAGCTTTATGAATGAGCTATAGTGTATGTTGTGTCCTGTATATCTTTTAGAGGTGTTGCCAAATGTAATAAAAAAAAAATCTGCTTCAGCTGCTGATATTTGCCTTTGTATTTTGCTACTTCCCAGACTTACGGAAGCATTGGCAAAAGGCCCAGTCTTAACAGACACCACAGGCTTACTCCATCCAACCAGACAACTACCAATACTTGCCAATGTGATCATTTTAAGTATATTGGCATGGCTCTTCCAGCACAGGCCAAAGCTCTTGTGGCGGATGGAAAGAAAGCTTTCTCTGTTCCATTATGTGAGCCCAGGACGAGCCCCTGACCGTCCTTGCATTCAGCAAATACCAGCACCATTTATACTGTTTCTGTGCTGCTGTCATATTATCCCTGCAACGTTATTATTATTCAGGGACAACCAAAATGGTATTATAGGAAAAAAGAAGGATCATTATGATTACTGTTCTATTTCTTGCTCAATTATTTTTTAAAAATGCCTATGTTTTACTTAATGGATGGTGGAGGTTGATTTGGCTGTCAGGCCTGAGTTTTCTCTCTTGCCATCACAGACCAAAATCCTGTTGTTTGGTGAAGTCAATCACACTAGAGTAGGGCCACTGAATCAATGGGGATGTGGAGAGTCAACTCCTTCATACATTCTGTTGATTCAAATCAACCTACTCTAACTGTGACATACTTTAGTACAGTAAATTGCAGTTAGAGTAGGCCCATTTGAATCAATAGAAGTTATGAAAGAGTTGAGTAACTAAATTCCCATTGATTTGGTGGGCCTACTCTAGCACAATTTCCTACACTAAGCAACAGGATTTTGGCCCTTGTTTCAGTTTCTCAGCAACACTTAACATCTTACATTAGTTTATGGACACCAATATTGCTAAGTTCAGGATTGCTTTTTGCTCACTGGCGACTTGACCAACACTCTTTAGGCTTAATCTGCAGGGTAACAAGGGGTTTTGGCTCTCTGTCACTGCTGTTACTAGAAGATGCATGTATCCAGAGGGTGTAAGGGATTTCTTTCCTTCACAAAGTCCTCTTCACTTCATCATGATGAGCTGTGGTTTCTTGAAGAGTTCTGGCAGCAAGGCTACAAGTTGTGGTGGGTTCTTCCAAACTGGCAAGGCACCCAAAGACCAGCTGAACTAACAAATGGGTGTACATGTGGCATGTTTGGTGAGGTGTTCCTCCACACGATATGTAACTTCATGCTCCCTCTCAGTCACCTTCTTTCTAAGCAAAACACGTGTACTGTATGTTTATTCAGAAGCCGTTCCACTGAGTTCCAGGAGACTTGCTCCTCAAGTAGCAAGTGCTATGGTTTTCCCAGTAGTGATGTATAGAAGTGAGAGATGGACCATAAAGAAGGCTGACCGCCAAAGAATTGATGCTTTCGAATTGTGGTGATGGAGGAGACTCTTGAGAGTCCCCTGGACTGCAAGGAGAACAAACCTATACATACTAAAGGAAATCAACCCTGAGTGCTTACTGAAAGGACAGATCCTGAAGCTGAGTCTCCAATACTTTGGCCATCTCATGAGAAGAGAAGACTCCCTGGGAAAGACCCTGATGTTGGGAAAATGTGAAGGCAAGAGGAGAAGGGGACGACAGAGGATGAGATGGTTGGACAGTGTCATCAAAGCTACCAACATTAATTTGACCCAACTCCGGGAGGCAGTAGAAGACAGGAGGGCCTGGCATGCTCTGGTCCATGAGGTCATGAAGAGTCCGACACGACTTAATGACTAAACAACAAACAACAACAAAGCTGCAGCTTTAGAAGTGCTTGGACTAAGGATGTTGTCCCCAAAGTAAGTGTGCAGAGAACAAGTTTGTTCTGTATGTTTGTGGGGCAAGAGACCTAAACATAAATAGTTATTTTGCATATAGCAATTGTTTTAGGGTGCTGTCCAACATAACACTGCATTATTTCAAAAGATCTACAGCAAGTACTTCCCATGCTGTTGGAAGTCATTTTGGGTTTGACTGTCTGACCATCAGCCAATTTGATCAGATCAGTTTCAACATAACTGGGTTTTGGGACTGATTTGGATTTGATTCCAGGCCTTGAAGTGGCCCAGCAACTGCCTTCCCTGCTTGGAGAGACAGGGAGCCGAGAAATAATGTGTGGATAGGGCTGTTAGCCTGTTCCTCAATTTAAATGTAAGTAGGTCAGCAGTAGGAAATGGCAAAGAGGAGTTCCAGTGAGACTATTTGCTCTGTGTTAAAAAGAAACCTGTCTGTATGGGCAGAATCAGAAATGAAAACAGAAATGTATCCAATTGGTTTTTATTGCAGAAATAAAAACATTATTGGCAGTAGAAATGCTCAGATTAATGTCAATTTGCTTGATAGCAACAGGTTGAAATGAACTGGTGTTTCATATTGCCTTCTGAAAATTCGAGTTTGGCTGGCGGAATGAATATTTTAACCTTATTCCTAGATGCAAGCGATTCATTTCTTTGCTCTCTCCAGATGTGATAATCTTTGCAGATGTGTAGCTTTTCCTCTATAAATATTTCTGAGTGCAGACCGGCTGTCTGCATTCTCTCCAGCTAATCTGGCACACACGTTTCCTAAGGGATGACAGAAGCAGTTCCTGACAACCGACCCAGACATCAGGAAGGGAGTGTGCAAAAAGCAATTGAGGCTTTGGAGATTTTCTCAATCCGATTGCAAATGTGAGAAGTGGGACTCTGTTCCAAGAGAATATGCAAGTGAGCCTTTCAGTAATTCCCACTATTTGGACTAATATCCTTGAATTTGATGTAAATTAACTGTTT